ATATATATATATATATATATATATATATATATATATATATATATATATACTAAATATCTATACAGCTATAAATGTTTAAAATACATTCTAGATGTATTCCAAAGATATCTGGATATCTCACGAGAGAGAGAATATATTTTGGACATTTGTGTTCTATGATTATTATTTATATACACACACACACACACATATATATATATATATATATATATATATATATATATATAATGTTTGGTGTAAACTTGTTCAATGACAAACTAGTCATGTAACTTCAATGACATGTATCAAACGATCGCCTAATGTGTATTTACACATAACATCATAATATCATGAATGTCTGAATATTCCCTAGATAGAAAGTTACAGGATTTTCGGTTTTATGCATGTACGAATAAGATTAAAATAGTTATAATTTATGTCATTATAATCATATCATTATAATCAGAGTTACTTATACGATTTTTAATCTCAAATATAATGTAGTGTATAATGTGTAAGGTTGAAAATCGTATAACCTTCGATCTAGTAAGAGACAAGGGGGGCAAATAGTGACAGTTTAAATTTCTCCTATTTCCCGTGTCTATGTTACTATCACTATCAATAGCGAGTAAGTTCTCGAACATCTAATCATCTATGAAAAACACAATTAAACTATTAAGCTAAACATAGCTAATAAATAAGCCTAAAATTTTGGCCTTTGTAAAACAAGGTAAAACCTGAATCTTATTTAGGTATTTCTATTTAGATTGTTTTGACTCACGAACCCCTAAATGAGATTTTACCTGTTCAGCGTTGTATGATATGTGTTTTTTCTAATGTGACCTAACCTCTATTGTATATAATTGATATATGTATATATCAATTCGTTTATTGTTTTCAGTGTTTTAAAAGAAGAGATAACTCCTGAGGCAAAGAGTGACAAATTTTAAATAATGTTACTTGACTTATTCAGTGTTATTTGAATTGCATTTCTTCCCATTTATTTTGTTAGGTGTAACTTGAAAGCTATTAAACTAGGTTTAAATATAGAAAATATTAATAAGTAATTTGAAAAATCACTTTCCAAAAGCACGTCATATTATTTCACCAAAATTAGATTTTATATACATTATTTGTTTTAATAAAATTCTTACATATAGCAGTAAAGAAATTATATTTCAATTATTATTTAGTCACACATCGTCAAAAGAGAGACTGAATGGAAGTTGAGTACTGCTTTTCATGATTCTCACCATTTGTCCCACACTGGGGCAAATAGTAACAAAATGCAGATTTTAGTTTCTATGAAAATCTAGTTATTCCATATGACTTATGGGTCTTGTACTTAAGTTTTTCGTATAATTGAAGGTGCAAAGTATTGTTTTAGTAAAACATCCGATCTTAACAACTTGAAAATAGCTTACACGAGGGAGAAAAAATCAGTCACTATTTGCCCCACTCTCCCTTAAATAACAAATATTTGAACAAATACAAATATTTAAACATCCATGACACCATGTGTACAGACGTCTTAACATTTATTAGACCGGGAATTACTAAATATTTTGTAGCATATATATTTGTTTTTAAAAATGTGTATACTATTATTATAGATTGTCCGAGGAAACGGTAACGATGTTCCAACTAGTGGGTCTTTGACAACTCGGATGGTTTATTGTCTGACAAATTAGAAAATTTTCTAACTCCAATTCTTGACAAAATTGAGAAAACTTTTTTAAACGATGTAAACGAGACAAATCGGGCAAAATCAATATCTCAATTTCGTTAAAAATTAAAGTTAGGAGTTTTCTAATTTGGCAGACGATAAACTGTTCGAGATGTCAGAGTCTACCCGTTGAAACATTGTTACCGTTCCCTCGTATAATTTATAGTCATGGCATACGTATGTACTATTTCTAGAGACGAATGTGTCTGCTTCAGAATATTTAGTAACTCTCAATCTAGTAAATGTTAAGGCATCCATGACGTTGTCTGAACAGAATAGCAGTCCTATTGATTATTCGTAACGCATGAGCGAACAGAACATTATTTTATGCAAACTAAACCTCAAACTATTACGGTTGTTTTCGCTCTGGATTCCTCGGATACATGACAGTCATGATAAATGTATATGTAGAAAAGGACACAGCTAGTCCAAAATATCTAGTAATTCTAGATCTGGTAAGTTCTCGTGTATTACAATGAAGCTACATCTACGAAAACACCGAAGCGAGTTTCAACTTTTATCATGACGCGCGTAACCTCTTTCAATAATTCGTAAAATGACATAATTAAGGTAAAGATAACTCGTTGCAGAATATCAATCTCGATATCTATCAATATCAAAGTTCTCTCCATTGCACCTAATTCAGCTTTGTCATATTCTTTCGAAATATGATACATTAATAACGCAATTTTACATTCGCTTAGGTCCAAAGAACCATTCGCAAGCGGGTCTCGTGTCGAACCACATCACCCTTGACCTCCGGCGGTGTACGACGACTTTTCAACACCCCGACTAGAGTCGGGGCGCACGCGCCGACCGGGCGCACCTCCGAGCAGACGTTGACGTCGATGCCGAAGCTATCGCATTGGATTTCCCGTTTGCCGCAGCACGAAAAGCAACCTAGCCTTCGTCTCGCGTTTGTTCGTTCCCAACCGAGAGCTTTCACTTGGCCGCGATGTACGTCCTCGAGCGATCGCACGCGATGGACTCTCGCGCCTCGTGATTTACGCACCTCGGGAAAGAACGTCGGCTATTTCTGCGGTCAGATCGCGACGTGAGTGGTGATTTTTTCTCACTCTCACGGTAAAAAAGCAGCAGCCACCGGCTAATTTATCACCCGGCA